CTGAGAGTTCGAATAGTATGTATCACCTGCGCTTATCCCAGGACCTTGCGGCGTTCGGTGTAGCTGGTGGTGGTGTCGCACTAAGTGCTACATTCGAAGCTGCATTACTCAAATGGATCCCCAGTAACAGTCCTTCACCTGTTGTGAGACCGGAAGCTTATGCAAGAGTGAGGAGCGATAGGCCATATAGGCGGTGCCTACTTGTTGTCTCTGCCTATGAAGTGACGGATTGCAGCCCGGATGCAATTAAGGATGGATTTTACAACCAGTGGAGCGATCTCCTGAAACAGATGCATCAGAGGCGTATTGTAGAGCTGTCTGGGGACTAGAATGCACAAGTCGGGAGTCTAAGAGAGTTGTCTAGGTGATCAGTGGCGATTACACGGTAGCAGTGCAGTTAATGGGGACTGTTTTATGCAGCTTTGCGCAGATCACAACCTATTTCTAGCGAGCACTAACTCCTGGCACGGCCATCACCGCAACACTATCTAGCGCCCTCCCTCCGTGAATCAAGCCTGCACTTAGATTGATCATTTTGCTGTCAGTTTTCGTTGGCGGCGGTGCATACATACCACCACTCCTTCTGGAGTACATCCTGAACTCCGATCACGCTTTAGTGTGAACCAGGCTTGTTTCGAGATTTGATGTGGTTCATAAACGGCGTCATCTACATGTTGATGTGAGCAATCTGGTAGCACCTGCTACCTCTTTGAAATACCGGGCTGAGTTACAAACCTTGCTGGCAACCTCCCAGGTAGTACAGATGAACATTAGCAAAGTGCGAAGTAAACTGTGAGTGAATCCACCTGCGGTTTAAAGGAACGCTCCTCTAAAAATCACTAGGTTTCTGCAATTTTTTTGCAACTCTTGGGTAAATGCCGGTCCATTGCAGCAGGTAGCGAGTAGAACAACATGCGAAAGACGCTTAAGTGCAAGATTAAACAGTGATTACGTAAGGATCGCGAATCCTGGTGGTCAGAACGTGAGTGTCAGGTGGATTCAACTGCTGGGTCTGGCAACGTTCGGAAGCTTTTACAGTCCACCGGCAGCAAGAAACCTAGTGTCACTGAGACAGTCTCTGGGACATATGGAACGCCAATTACCAGCCTAGAATGCTGGGCAGAGCACTTTGAGAAGCAGTTTAGCTGGCCACCTGCTCCAGCACCCAACGTCATCAGCTACAGTGCTCCTTGTTCGGTCAGTACCTGCCCACCAATCAAAGCGGAGGTCCAGAAGGAACTCCAGGTGTTGAATGGACACAAGGTATCCGACCCAGACAGTTTAGCTTTAGTCCCTTTTCAAAGATAGTGGTGAGATTCTCGTCATGGCTTTGACGGGTTTGCTCAGGAATGTTTAGGAAACTGAGTATGTGCCATCAATGTGGAGTGAAGCCATCATCTCCCCCATTTTTAAAAAAAGGGTCTACTTAACACATGCGGTAATCATGGGGGTATCACTCTGCTACCAGTCGCGTATAAAATATTGACTGCTGTCTTGCTTCGTAGGCTGTGTAAAATACGTGAGGGATTGATTCGCGAAGAGCAGGCTGGGTTTCGTTCAGGTCGTGGATTCATTGATCATGTGTTCACCTTCCTCAGTTGTTGGAACACCGCCACACGTATCGCAGGGCAACAATCGTTGTGTTTCGTGATATTAGAGCTGCCTACGATTCGTTGAATAGAACTGTTCTCTGGAACTGTCTGTTTGAGAGGAGTGTACCTGATAAATGTGTTAACATCCTGAAAGCCATATACAGCAATACCTCAGGTAGAGTGAGGACATACAGGACACTGTTCTCTACCGACAATGGGGTTAGAAGGGTTTTTCAATCTCTCCATTTCTCTTTAACTTTGCCATCTATGACATTCTTGAGTCAGCTCTGAAGGATGTGTGTGAAGGTGGTGTAGATCTGCTACCTAAAGATAAACTTTTCGACCTCGAGTATGCAGACGATATTGTTTTACTTTGCGGTAGCATGCAGGCTGCCCAAATCACACTTAATCAGTTGGCGATCCGTGTCTGTAAGTATGCTATGTGCTTTGCACCGTCTAAGTGCAAAGTACTGTTACAAGATTAGCAGGAGTCTGTAGCTGCACTCACTCTTGCGGATGAACCGCTTGAAGTTGTTGATAAGTTTGTGCATCTGGGTAGTTGTGTGAGTGTTGGTGGAGGGGTGACGGATGGGATTTCCAACCGTATAATGAAGGCTAGGGTGGCATACATCAAGTTGAGCCACCTCTGGCGCCGTTGTAACGTTAGCCTGGTTGTAAAAGGTCAGGTATACAATGCTTCGGTGTGGGCTGTCTTGCTGTACACCTGTGAAACCTGGCCTTTCCGAGTAAGCTGAGGATGTGCGGCGACTCTGTGTGTTCGGTCATCGCTGTCTCTACAGGATTGCTTGAGTTCAACGACATCATTGTGTGAGTAATCCTGAGGTTCGGTGGCGTGTGTTTGGACACAGTGGAGATCATCACTCATCGAGTGTCGTCATCTGGATAGACTGGCTTCAGTGGTTTGGACATGTGCTACGAATGTCATTCTAGAGGCTTTCGTTCAGGTCTCTTTTCGCTAGCCCTGGAGCGGCATAGAAAAAGCGGAGAAGTGGTCAGCTCATGACATGGCGTCGTGGGATGAAAGATATATGCGTTAGTTAGGTCAGCAACGGTTGGTGCGTCACAACTCCCTGGTTGGAGGCCGACAGACAACTCGAAATGTTATGGGATATGGTCAAGAATCCCAATCAGCGGCGATCGTGCTGCAGCTTTTTTCTTCCTTCCTTTTCTGAAAAAATTCGACAAATGTCGTTTGGTTTTGCGAAATATAGCGTCTTTTTTCACAGATAAAGTCCTCTATTCATTCTCTATCTATTTTTAATTTTTATTTGTTGTTTTATTAATATTGTGTGCTGCATCTTCTTGGTGCCATATTGTACAAGGTGTTTTCGTTTTAAATAAATAAAATAATTGTTCCAAGTATAGGCAGTCGACACAGATGGCGATGTCTAAACCAGAGTCGGAAAGTTTGGAAATCTTCGGCACTCAACATAAAGAAAGTTAAACCAGATTTCTAACACCAGTGTTAAGTGAGTTCTTCTGTATGGGTAAGAAGCTTAGCGTATCAAGAAAGGCATTTCTAATAGGCTGCAGAATTTCTATCAACAGCTACTTTTTCAAGCTCCATATTGACCACTAAATGCCCAGCCAGAAAGGACTAGAAACAAGAAACTCTGCAGACGAACCAACTAAGAACCCATTACCTAGCAAATATTCCGAAGATAATGGTGATGAATTTGATATAAGCTAATCGGGCTATTTGGTGACATCGCGCTGCAGGTCGGCCATCGATTGGAACTCCAAGGGTGACACAGAGGAGACTGCGCAAATAGGACATGAATGCTCAAGGGTGGTCATACAGCCAGCCCAAAAGTACTGCACAGAATGCAATGAAATGGAGATGTGCAGTTGAAGCCTTATGTTCCACTCGGAACCCAAGCGAATAATAAAAACAATGAATGTCCATTCCTTATGACCAGATGTTCATGTTAGTAGAACACGACCTCGTAGTTATTGAATAACAAGTTGATAGGTGTTTTGTTTTTTAACGACTTACCATACTTTCATACTGCCACACTGCATTGGTCATTTTATAACGCAAAGTATTTTTATGGTGTGTACTCCACTAATAAGAAACAAATAGTGTCTAATACACTGACAAACAAGTTTCATAGCTCCCTGTTATTATGGTGTCAATAACTCATCTGATCATTTTTGAGTGCTTTCCGTTTCAAGTGAGACATAGGCCTTTATGCTTTTCGAATTTCACTTGTTGTGGAGTGGTGTGACACAGACAATATGTTCTTCTAGTGGAATATTATTCTCGCATATTCCCTCAGTTCAATACTGTGTTAATAACAGAATACTATGTATTTGAACATTCTTTTTCATGTCGTTTGATCAATGAAAAATATACCTTGGCTTTCGTGTCTCGCCTTCTGTTATTACAATTGTAGTATTGTTTTTACAGAGTGAGTTTGTTAGCTTCACGCACGAATCTCCTTCTCTACCGGGATCATTATCGGCTAGATAAACTTGGCGAAATTTAGGAGTTCGTCAATTAGTAATGGAACTCAAACTATGTAGGTGGCTAGTAAGCATTCTACAGCTGGATCACTGACATGTTAATCTAACTAACTAGTTATAATTCCGAAAATCTATGTACAGTGAACTTTATTACTGTCTAAATCAAATCACCTGAATAGGTAGAATATATAGAAGTAGTCCATGTCGATCATTTCAACAAATAACTTGTAGAGAAAAGAATTATCATTTACAAAGGAACAATGCCTTTGATAACTCTCAGACTTTTCAGCTGTTTTTAGCTTCTACCAAGAAGCGGAATCACACTTTATCCAGTAATCAGATTTCTAGCTTAACAGTGCTTGTCTCATTGAAGTGTATAAGTATTTTGCCTAGATGACGATGCTGAGTTTCCTATAAGTTGTATGGAGATCCTGGTGTTCCTTTTTGCCTAAATTTAGGTCCACATTCGACACATATATATGGTTGTAAACTGATTACGTGAACATAAATAGATATTAATGCTTATATCCATTCTGATCATAACACGAAGTTAGAATTGGCTGAATGGTCTACGAGATCGCTTTGTAACTAGCTCCTGGGTTCGAACCTAAGTGGGCGCATGCTGATGAGGAGTCCCAAACTGGGACGAAACAGTTGTCCAGTACTCCCTGATGGTTTTCCAATAGTTCTTTAACTGATTTCCGCTCATAATGAAATCCTTCAGCCATTCAAACAAAATCTCTACAAACCAATACTGGGAAATATTCACTTTGCTTGTTTTTGATTTCCCTTTTTGTTATCGGGTTGGTCTATTGTAGATGATATCATAAACTGAAAGGATAACATGAGATTTCACTTTAACACAATGACAATGTAAGACTACATTATAAGGTTGCATAAGTATAATTAAAAAAAACTCTTTTCTAATGAGAATTATAACTTTTTCTCAAAAATATTTGTAACTACAAAATAAGAAATATATAGAGAAAGCAAGAGAGTGAGAGAGAGAGAGAGAGGGAAAAATCGACCTTGACTTGAAACAATACTTGTCATATTTATCATCCACCTGTCATTTTAGGAAATATAGCAATAAATAAGATAAGTAGAATAATTAAAGCTGCAATTATTATAGCACCAATAAAAAGAAGAGCTAAAACTTTTCGTTGTTTAAAACATCGTCGTAGTGTTTTCCAAATATGTACTTGCCCTGTTCTATATGATGAAAAAAGATGCATATTTGATTGTCCAATTGATGCACTAAGATTTGATTGTGTTCTAGACGCTGTAATTTGTTCACCTGTTGAAGAATGAAAAATACTATCACCATCTGTTTTAGGCGGATGAACAGTAGATGTGGAGTCGAGTAAAGATAATCTTTGTTCTATGCCCACAGGAAATGCGAGTACATTCCATGGTGAGAGGCAAATTAATGACTAAAAAGTGATGAATAAAACAAAGCAGAATATACGAGTAAACTGCAATTGTATGGAGAATGAAATCAAATAATGAAATATATTATTATCTTTATATTATTTGGTTGACGTTCCGTAGCGATGGTATCCATGATTTTTAATTACGTTCAAATCGTTAGGGAAAAACGGAACCCATTTCTAATGCAACAGTATACAGCAAACTGTGCGTCCTGAGTTCACGATCTCACCATCATAAGACAACGGACTTCAAGTTAGTACCCATGAAAATATCGATGAATCCTTTCAAGAAGAGTACATACTTAAATCAGGTTAATTAATTTACTCACCTGGAAATCACCAGTATTTTACAGCAGTAGAGATGATTTTCAGCTCAGATGGATATTTTGAAGTAACCACTGAAGATTTTTTGATTCGTTTACGTTCTCCCAGAGGAACATGGGCTTCAAGCTACAGCCCTGAAGTTTTGGTAGCAATGGTGTTTATTTTTACAGGATTGGGTTGCTAGCCTTATGTCCATTCTTCTCTCTTTACCAGTCTTACTGATGATTTGGTGAGGTAAAGGAGTGCGTCGGCGGGTATCGAGCCCTGGACCACATGCGTTGTTGGTCGAACATCCTAACTCTGTGCCACTGACGCACAAAGCACTGAAGATGCTGTCTAGGAAGACAACGAAGCTACCCAGCTCATAAAATACAGCCACACCAAAAGAGGATAAATATGTATAAATAACAAGCGGAGACTTATTCAAAGATATATTAGACATCGAATTCTACATGATATTCTGTTACAAATGGATATTCATTTAGCTTTATCAGTAGCTGTATGTCTCTTCTATCGTTCAGGCTGGTAATTTCTAACTTTCACACTTTTCAAGTGTTGGTTTATAGGGATTTGATTGGTTACGGGATTTCATCGTGAGCTGACATTGGAAACCACCTAAGAGTACTGGACAGCTGTTTCGTCCTAGTTTGGGACCCTTCATCAGTACGCATCAACCACGGGAGTTTCAAAACCAGGACATTCTGCTTACAAGGCCAGCGGGCTCGTATACCATTAAGCCACTGGGACCCGATCCAGTGGCCCACCCATGAATTCTAACTTCTGCCAATTCACGACATAGCGCGACCCCTAGCCAATGCCTTCGGTGAGTATTTGTCCTCATACCCGACCCGCTGCACCCTACTGGTCACGACTTCTTACTAGAATCTCGGGTAACTACCTGCCTGAATAGGGCAAGTCGCTAGTGAGCATCTCATTGATATTCACACTTTTGTTGAAACAAAATGCATAAGGGAAAAATAGTAGTAGTCGTCTTATGAATTTCATACATTTCGTTCCCTTGATAAATTTCGATAAAGAAATAAAGACAAGATTTCCAGCATGAAATGATATCATCATTCTATTTCACAGGCTCCCTTCATCAGCTGCATACCACTACCTGAAATGACAATGGTTATAAATAATGACATTTCGTCCTTCAGTGATTGAAAGGTAATAGAGCAAACTTTATAAGATGAACGCATCCGGAATATAAACATTACACTTCGCCTTAGTTTAAGTCACCATCAATTTATATGCTTTTAAACTATGAAAAAACGGGGTGGGAGTGAGAGAAGACAGGAAACAGAAAAATCCGATAAACAGTGTTAGCTTGTACGTCTACAAAGCAAATCAAGAAGGTTAAAATTCATCCAATTGAAAACTTTCTCAGTGAGCTGAGCTCACCAATACATATATAACTTGTCATTGTAATCAAAGCAATACGGTTGATTGATTACACTGTATTTCTGTGTGCATAAGTTTGGTCTGAAATGCTTGATTGAAATTGCTTCACCAAATCGTAGCAAATTCGCTGTCCTTTTTATTTTTAATATTTTGAAGAATTTGAAAATTTCGACAAAATAACCCGTATCACCAAGATGTCTGGTAAGTGCACTGTGTTTCCATAGTTTGAAAGCATATATATATATTGATGGTGACTTAAACTAAAGCGAATTGTAATACTTATATTCCGGATGCATTCATCTTATAAAGTTTTTCCTGCTACCTTTCAACCATTTGAGTATAAAATGTCATTATTTATAACCATTGTAATTTCAGGTAGTAGTATGCAGCTGATGAGGGGAACCTGTGAAATAGAATAATGATATCATTTCATGCTGGAAATCTGGTCTTTCTTCCTCTATCGAAATTTGATGAATGACACTGATAGGCTTTGAAAGGATAAGATTACACTTACACCTTCGTTTAAGTGGACGTAATAAACTGAATTTTATCAGACTGTGGTCTAAAATCAATTACCTAAACTAAACTGGCATATATTTACGGAAATATTTACGTCATTTATCTCATTGGTGGTTTAGCAATGTAGTCAACAACAAAAAGTAACAAGGAATATTTTTAAAACTTTAACCAAAAGTCAAAATTCTTTTGCTAATAGGAGTGAGTATTTTTTTTTGTCGACAACAGCTGACCACACCAAAGAAAAACTGATATGTCAGTCAATCAACAGCTAAAATACCAACAGTCATTATAAACATTTACACTCTATTTTTTGTAGGATTTTGCTTGGGTACTTGAAAATACTTCTTTAAACTGACAAAATGAATACTGAATGTTTGTTCTTCTTTTGATCCGTCTAAATGCTGATATAATGCAAATAATTTATTGTAGTTTAGATAGATGGTATTGATGCTATTGTGTTCTCTCAGTTGATTGGTTAAATTTGTCTTTCTCTGTGAGGTTTCAAATAAATTCACTTCACTGGAGATATTGTTTAGAAAGCCAATGAAAGCTTTACAAATAAACCTATTCAGCTCAGAAAATACAACTACACTGGTATAATTCTGAATGTCTGCAATGTTAAGAAAAGCGAAACTTGGTGCTTTGTAACAATAGATTACAAATGTTGATGAAATCAGTAGAAAAAAAGGCATCTTCTGTGTTTTATAGTTTTATAGTCTTAGTAGAGTCATGCTTTGATTCTGAATTAATTAAGCAACTGCTTCATCACCACTCAGTGTAGCAAACCTTTTTTTCTTATACCTCATTCACCTTTCATTGAAATCAGCCTTTCCCTTGGCATTGGAAGTCGGATTCTTTTGACCGGAAAGAGTAAGCAAAAAAGAACTTTGTTAATAAACCAATCAATAATCTTTTGTCCAGCAAATATGAAGATGGACTGGACATACTCCACAGAGACTGCTGAGTGACATCATACACCAAGTTGTCAACTGTCAACCGAATCGGAAACGTAGAATTGAGTGTTAGTGGAGTGTGGGGTGATGTGGGGGAGATCGCTAAGAAGGGAAGGAAATAAAAGCATGACAGCAATCGTGGGGCCAGCCTAAAAAAGATCGCGGAAATACAGTGAAGTGGCGATTTGCTGCTGAAGCTCTATGTTTCACCCTGAATCCAAGGTGACAGTAATAATAATACAGTCAAAAAAAACAATTATTCTAAATTGTGATTTTGTATATTCTAGTTTATTCTAGTTAAAGTCAGATAAGTGATAATTTATCCGGTGTAAATGGATTTTCAGTGGGAAAATATTACAATGAAATGTGTGAAACGCTTTTAAAAGATTCAAATATAATTCACACTTTGCAGATTAATTGATTGCATTATTTAATTTAATGTTTCGCTTTATCCCTGAGAAAACCAACTGACCTTAAGCTAAGTTGTCCCATTTGAAGAAGTCAGAACAGCATCGTTAATCAGGTCAATAATAATACTATTAATAAAATTTTGAGCCCAGAGAGAAGAGAATACAAATTAAAGTAAAAATTAAGGTAATATTCTTATATATTAATATCACTCCAGAATATTTTAAAATCAATGAAGGATTCCTCAGGATTAGTAATTAAGATATCAATATATTCAACATGACCAAAGCGAATTAATAATGTGTGTATCTTTAAATGAAAACAAAAGCATTTAGTTTTTATTAAAAACGATATTCTTACCTGCTTCCACTTAATTTGCATCATAAAATTATTATTATTACTGTTATATGTCATCTCGTATCTTCATTACTTGATTACACTTCGACGAAATTATCACACAGTTATTATTAATATTGGTTGTAGGATTTCATCATGAGCTGACATCAGTTAAAGAACCATAGGAAAAGCTGCATGGAGTACTCGAAAGCTATTTCGTCCCACTTTGGGACTCTTCAATAGTACGCACCCACCCACACAGTTGGAACCCAGGACCTTCTGGTTACAAGGCGAGCTCGTATACCATTAAGCCACTGGGACCCGATCCAGTGGCCAGCCCATGAATTCTAACTTCTTCCAGCTCACGACATAGCGCAACCGCTAGCCAGTGTCTTCGGCGAGTATTTGTTCTCACACCCGACGTGCTGCACTCTACTGGTCACGACGTCTCACCATATCGTGAATTGGCAGAAGTTAGAATTCATGGGCTGGCCACTGGATCGGGTCCCAGTGGCTTAATGGTATACGAGCCCGCTGGCCTTGTAACCAGAATGTCCTGGTTTTGAAACTCCCGTGGTTGATGCGTACTGATGAAGGGTCCCAAACTAGGACGAAACTGTTGTCCAGTACTCTTAGGTGGTTTCTAATGATTCTCTGACCAATGTCAGATCATGATGAAATCCTGTAGCCAAAATATACGAGCATAATTTCACGGAAATTCAATAACATATGTTTGCCTTTTGTACTTGATTCATCCTTTAATCTATTTTATTGCGCAGATATCAATATCAAGTGACATTTCTTGATATAAGTGTTGTAAATGTAACTCACTTCAAGAATAATAATGCCACCACTAATATGTACGTCAGAAAGGAAAATCTTTTTATGATAATTTTTTATTTAAAAGTATGTCAAAAAATGTAACTTGTGATTAAATCAACATAGCAAAACTCTACGATGCTACAATTAGCAGTAATATGCATTAAAGCCACCCCCAGGAATCCCTTATTTTGTTGATTATAAATTCACAGGTGCACCACTAGTACAATGGTAGAATACTTGCCAACCACGTATGTGATTTGAGGTTCGATCCCCGGCTGACACACTTCTTTATCTCGTTAGACCAGTAGTAAGACTGGTAAAGAGGAAAGGTTGACCAACGAGGTTAGCAACCCTATCCCGTAAAAAAAAAGATATCATTGCTACTGAAACTTCAAAGCTGTAGCCTGACAGCTCTTTGTTCCATTGGAAATTCAAAGGAAAAAAAAATAAATTCACAGACCTGTCACTCAGCCACTTAATCCCAATTTTCCCTCGTATTCATGCTGACGATAAATTTCATATGCATTTCAATTATAATCAAACCTAACTGACTATAATTTCATGTTGGAGTTGTTCCAGACTACATTTTCTAATAAAGTTTTGATTTTCTTTAACTTGCTGTTGTGTGTTAACATTAATGAATACATAACTATTAAGTCTCAGAAGAGGATTACTGTTCTCTGTAATTACTCTTGTTCTGAATATATTATCAGACTATCATGACCTATCCCTTGAGTTCTGAGTGGAACATAGGGCTTTTCTACATTATCTTTCATAGATGACTTCAAGGTTATCCATAGGATTTCACTTCCCTCTTCATATACTGTCCCCTATGTCACCATCCAATATCCAACTCCCCTTTTCTTATTGAATTTCCACTTGAGAACCTGGTGTGTGATGTCTTTCAACAGTCTCCTTAGAGTATATCTAGTCCATCTCCATTTACTTCCGGATATATGTGGGGCAGTAGGTTCTCAGTTGATCAATTGCCTGCCTTCCTGTCCATTTCATCTTCAATATCCTGCCAATGAGGGTAGGTGTTGATGAAAGTCTACAGTTATCTTGTGGAAATTCTTTTAGTGACTTGCTAATCCTCTGAAACATACAAAAGCAATGAGTTGAAATTAATGTTAAAAATTCAGATTTTCTTTCATGTAGTAGAAAATATAGATCCTCACCGTGATTTTGGAGCAAGGAACGCCCAATGTTGCTTTCGTCATCTTATTTTGTCTGGCTCTGAAATCTTCATTCCTGCTGCCTGCATTTTATTGGCTCCTGATTAGCTATAGGAGAGGTGATATTTTTGAAGTTTCTTTCATTGATGACTTGCTTTTCTTGTCGTTAGTTGAATATTTTTGCACCATATCTGTCATCTCTGTGTTCATTTGAAGTTCTGTCTTCTCAACTTCTTCTCTAAGATTGTTGGCTTTCACCTCCTAGTCTTTCTGTTTTTGTGAGACAGTATGGACATAACATTTTTGAAATCTATGCCTCTGGTGTCTTTCTATCCGTTCAACCTATACGTATCTTCTCACCCTTCGTATTTTTCTGCATTGCGTCGGTGTTACAGCGGTTAGGACTCTCGCCGACCATGCAAATGGTCCGGGTTTCGACCCCTTGCCGAGGCACACCTGATATCTATGGTCGGCCTGCAAAATTTGGGTTAGCGATATAACATGTTGAAAATTTCATACTTGTACCAAAACTACGGTGTGGAATCAAGCTGTAATCAAATAAAAATAAGAAAGATCCATTCCACTACAATCACAAATATCATCGGTGATAGTCGACAGAGTCGTCTTTATCCTGCCTTCACTTCAGAAGCCTCACTGAGTTTCCTGTTGTGAATTAATTGGAATGTGGCATCATATAGCTGCCAAATGATCTTTATTAGCGTTTGCTACACTTTACTTTGTACTATTGAAAGAGTCTCCAAATTACTTCGCGGTTAACTATATCCAGGGTCTATTAGAAGTTGCTGAAGTTGTGGTAGTGTAATATGCTCGATAATGACATGTGGTGTTGTAATTCGATCTGTACATGATTGATTTCTCTTGAATCAAGCCTTTTCTGAATGAAGTTTTCATTTCACTGTGCATATTTTAGTGTTTCCATAACGATGATGCCTTTTAGTGTCCAGGGGCATGATTTGGAGGCATTTCGCGCACTCTGACATGGTAGCGCCTGTCTTCCAGTCAGCAGCTCGCCTTTCTCCTTCCTACACTTTCTTCAGTATTGGAATTTGCATGTTGAAGTCTCTGGGTCCATTTTCTGTGCCTTTCCTTTTTTTTTAAGGGGGGGCGTGAGGGGTGGGAAGGGGATGGGGTTTTATCTATCCTTTCGAATTTCTGTAAATTATGTAAATTTACGGCCTTTTTGACTTCCGCTTTTGTTGAGACGTGTCTTTTGGTGTGTTCTTCTGGAGCAAAATTACCACAGGCATATGTCAGGAGTCTTAGTAAATATATTAGCATTAATGTATTCTTAAATAAATAAAAATTCAGAGTTCAAAAAACACTGAAATTTGTTCTTGCAACAGATAAAGTTCTCACTGAATGTTTTACCATCTACCTTCTGATATACTGTGTCCTCAAAATTAGGTCACAGAGTGAATTTGATGCATCTCACATCTTCCAATGTATGTTCATTTACTTGTTATCTTGAGGACTAAATATCAGTGGAACCAACATGTGATTTTTCTAGGGATTCGCCTCTGAGAAGTTTCATCGAAGCACCGCATGCTCCAAACAGCAGAGGCTATTGCAATTCGCCTCAAACAACCAGTGATCTGTGTTCAAAAGAAGCAAGTCCAGCCCCTACTACTGACATAGTTGGTCTTCGGTAGAGACTATAAATTCATGAATTTGTAATATTATCTTTTTCTATAGTTTGGTTTGTGAGGGTTAGTTATGTTTTTACGAGTTGATCACGGATTGATATCAGTTAGAGAACCATTGACAACCAGGGAGTACTGGACAGCTGCTGTTTCATCCTAGTTTGGGAATCATCGGCAGTACGCACCCACTGGAATTCGAACCCAGGACCTTCCGGTTACAAGACAAGCTCGTATACCATTCAGCCACTGGTACCTTACTTACTAGTCTCACACCCCTACTTCCCTCTTCATTGAACTTATTACAGGCTAAGTCAGGCCTAGGAGTACATCGGTCTGGGGTTGAGCCACATACCGTGTGTGGCGCCGTTGGTGGTCAATATTCCTTTTTCCATAACATTACTTTATTCAGCAAAACACAGAAAAGATTATATATATATATATATATATATATAACATGCTTTTCTAAAGAGGAGATCTATTGGTTCTCTTCAAAGATCGATCTACAGGAAACCAACATGGAATGGTCAGTACACAAATTTCCATAGCTGGGTCCCTTTGAGAAGAAAGAGAAATCTGATCCACTCCTTATCCTCAAGAATAAGGAGGATATGTTCAAGTAATACAATCGATGGGGAACCGGGGTAACTCAGAAAACTCCTCTTAGGGAATGGATATCCCCCAAGATTTATCGAGAAAAACATGAAGGTAAGGGAAAAGCCGGAAAGAATCCAGACAGTGCCGAAGAAACTGCCCTTTATGAGTGTTGAATTTAAAGGTGATACCGCAGCTGAGATCCTGAAGAATCGCTTATGCAGATCACTGAGGAAAGCGTTCTTTATGGCTGAGCTAGGTCTTAATTTCTATAGCTGACAAGTGATCAACGGATGTGTGAAGGATAAACTGCAGCTTTGGGCCTACTCAAAGTGTGTTTATAAATTCACTGCTCGTGTGGAGCCAGTTATATTGGCCGCACACCCAAAGCGCACGCTTTCGAAACGCATCTCTGAACATTATCCGGCATGGTTAGCAAAGGGACAATGTAAGACAATTACTAGCTGAATTCTCGAGCATTTGGTGAACTCAGGCCACATAGCTCCACCAGAGTCGTCTCTCAAGATCATTTACAGAATGAAGCCAAATGATACAAAGGGCGTCAGGTTTTGGCTTTTGTGTATGGCAGAGTAGTTGGCAATTGATCAATACAACCCTGAACTCTGTATACAGAAAACGTTTGTCCATTCTCTTATTCTACCTTGGTCTTAACCTCTTCACTAATCGTCCCCTGTAAAAAAAGTTTGATTTTTTCCTTTTTTTCAAAAATTCTACTTTTAGTTTGCTTTTCCTTTAATAATTAATTCACTATTATCACTCTCACATGTTCTTTTTGTACATTTTCACACCCCCTTCACACTTGTTAAATTGACACTCAACTACCACCTTTATTCTCACTCAAGAGCAATATTAACCTTATCAAATTTCTATCTTTGTGTCACTGTTGAAAACCACATAATTTACAACTTTTAATTTTCACTTCTAAAGACACTTCTGAGTAATTATATCAATTACGTCACCCCTATTACTCAATAATAGACCACTATACATTTTTGCAAGTATAAATACAATTTTACAGTCTCTGAAGATGTTTTCGTCGATAAAGAAAATTTTCTTCGCTGAATTCGCCTTTTATGTATATCTGTCTGTCTGTTTTCGACATAGAACTTTGCACCGATGTGCGGCAGTTCAAGTCGCCACACTCCCTCCATGTAGCACATAAAGTAAGAGAAAAAGTAGAAGAAATGCATAATATAGACAGTAAACAGAGGTGTGAGACAAAGAAATAGTAATAACGAAGAACAAAACAGTTTCATTGGAAATCATAAGTGACAAGGAGTGGATGAATCTGCACGAGCCATTGAGAATGATTTTGAGCCATATCACCAATTGTTTCCAGCCTTCATTGGTTTTTACCGTCCCGAGGACCCCAACCAGTCAGGAAGTCTACATCTTCCTACGTGGCTAACTGGCTTAAACTAACTGTTGTAGACTTTATTAACTGGTGTCATGTTTTGGTTTGACCGCCGCTAGTTCTTTTCCAGCCTGACCCTACATCAGCTAACATTGCCCGTAGGTCGAGAAAGGCGATGACTAGGCATAAGAAACACATGTCCTAACCATCTCAGTTGATGGATATATATATATATATATATATATAAAGTTAATGAAATAATTATATTTAACTTACTGAAATATCATTCAATGCTTTTTGTAAAATACTATATTCACTTTTCAATATATCAATTTCTGAAAGATTTGAATCAAATATTTCTTTTTGACTTCTATTAATATCAGCATTATTTTCATTATCCTCCTCATTGTCATCAGTATTATCATTAGTATTATTATCATTATCTAATATTGTTGTATCAAGGTCAAAATTTAAAGATTTACTAAATCCTGTCATAATTAATGAGTTAATAGTTACATTTAATACTGTATTATCACTTAATATCCATGATGAATCCGTGAATAATGATGCTTTCACTAGTGTCTTGACTGCATTGTTCACCTTTATGTTTTCGCTATTACTATTATTATTATCATTACTATTATTATTAGAAGAAGAAGAAGTAGTAGAAGAAGAACATTCATTTTGTGTTATATTGTATGTTGGAAATAAAGTTAATAAATGCAGCGTTTTCAGTAATCCTCTCATATGATATTCAATAAATGTTGTAAATGCAATAAACAATTGATCGGATTGTTCACTTGTTATATTCGTCATCTGATCACCAGTATTAGCATTACGCCAACATTTCATTAATTGATATTTATTCTTATGTAATTCATTCATCATATATTTTTGTAAATTAATCAAATTTATTCTAACCAGGGTAGAGTCTAGCTCAGTACCGAGTATTGTACAGATATTACGAAATTCAGCTGAAATACTATTTAAGAGATTGAATTGTTTTAGAAAGCCTTGATATTCATCACTATTACAATTATTATTATTATTATTAGTAGTAGTAGTATGATTATTAGTAATGTTATTAATCACATCATCAGTCACTGGTTCAATCTTGGTCATTTTTAGAAAGCAAATAAGCTTAGAGTACAGTCGAAGTTGAAGTATTGAACACTGAGTTCCTTCATGTGGTAAACATATATCCTCATTTATACATACTTGTATTTATTTAAGTATATATGCATCCACGATAGGGCGTTTTTTCGCTTTATGCATTTCCTTTTTTGACCTGTAAACAACAAATAGGGAAGTATATTCTAAAATTAAGGTTAAAAGGTGGTTAGGTATCTGTAAGATATATACACATAGTCTTTGATCAAAGAAGGCATATCCCTGAAAATAGTGTTTACTGACAACATCCTTGAGTAAAGTTATTCAATCATAACAGATAGTTCAAAGTTAAACTTCTGAAGATTAAAAAAACACTCACGAAAACATAATTATTATTAATATTTTTTGCTTTGATCTTATTCTGTTTGTTTTACAAAATGAATAAAGTTCCCTTGAACCTCATACACTAACTTCAAATAAGATAAAAATTATTTTGACATAGATTTAAGAAAAAATAATAATAATAAAGAAATAAAGTAGTTTTGTTGGATGACGATTAACAAACAGCAGCAGAAGAATTCAGTAGTTGCGCATTTCATCCCAATTTGAAACTCGTCAGCCACTTGATATATCATTTGCACTTCTTACTGAGTGATGGTGTTCTCATTGAGGCTTGAGTCTAGTACTCACTCATCATTTCAAACATTAAAAAAGGCCTTTAACTAAATCCTTCCAAATGTCAGACTGTTATTTCAGTTTCCGATGTAAACGAAAGTTAAATGAAGCCGTTGGTTCTCCTGAACCTTGCAAAATTGATGATACTGATATAGAAATCAAGTGTGAAGTTAAGTATCTTGGAATAATTCTTTCTTCTGACCAATCCTGGTCTTCCCATATCTTAGCGATTTCTAAAGGAATATTTCGTCTGACTTTTTACATTAAGAAGTTGAGGCATTCATGCATAACCCAACCCACCCTCCTAATACACTTTGTCAACTCGCGTATTTTACCTATTCTTCTTTACTGTTCACCTTATTCTTTCCTGGATTACTTAAAAAAGACTATGTCATACTTCGTGGAACTCTGAAGACTGTCATTAAGGCGAGTGGTATCCCATTGGACCATATCATTGACACTGTCACTGATAGGCACTTGATGTCATGCAACAAATTTGCTAAAAGAAATTTTGTCAGACTCTGAGCATCCACTTTACCCGCAACTCCAACCTTGTGTCGCCTCAGGTAAAACAAGAAGTCTTTTCAGAAAAATTTATGCACGTACGTCTAAGTATAAAAATTCCACTATACCATATTTAGCACGTACTCCATGTGATGAAAATAGTGTCAGGCATGAACTAACTAACCTTCTTTACACTACTAAATGAACCATCTCCTCCATCCTTACAGCATCAAACTTTATTGTTATTGTATTTCTTATAATTATAATACTCTCAATTTTTTGTTTATTTTTTCGTAAGTGTGAACAAAATTTAAGCTGTGTTATAACTGTTAATTTTGTCTTCGTGAGGACACCATCACCCACTTGGGAGTGTAAATGGTATTTCTAGTGGCTGACGAGTCCCAAACAGGATAAACTGCATGTCTTGGATTCCACTGCTAGAGACCATCCATCAAGTTAATCCTCAAACATTTTTGAAGCATCCATACTGGAAGCCGATATTCAAACAGATACCACACATTTTATTGTAAACAGTCATAAGGGAAAATCAAAATTAAATTAAATGCAAAATGTCTTTAAAAAAAGTTATCAATTGATGTCGACAGATTAGACAATAGTGTTGTTATTGTCAACCACAAGTTATCCAGATTGAGAAATACGCTTAACTTAACGTGTCTGAATTCTGTAGTGATCAAAATCAAATCTCAGAGTTCCCTCCTTCAGACACTGGTAAGGCACGAAGCACTAGTGGCAGTGATTTAATACAAACTGTAAGTGTATGACTGGCAGAGAAGGCTTTTGATAAATAATAAGGTTAGACAGTTAAGTCATTAATTATTACGACTGACAGTTAATGAGAACAAAGAGACAAAAATAATTCCAACAGGTGTAAGTCTCAATAAAAGTACAAGATTTAACCAATGTATTTGTGTCATGGTGGATTTTCTCATGAAACACTGTCATTTGAGGAATCGTTACAATCCATAGATCCCTTAACCACACACACATAGGCCCACCCAAAAATGAATCAGATCACAAATTTGACACATCACAATCAGATTATATGTTAAAAAAGGGTTATAAATAAATAAAATAAGGACAGATTTTTTCAGATAACAATGCTCATCCACTTATTAATTGATCCGCATCAATCACTGATCAATCTTTTAGAAAAAAAGGGTAATTATGATATATGATAGATTCGACGTGTGTCGGTGGCACAGCGGTAGCATCCTCGCCAACCTTGTGTATGCCTCGGGGTTCGACCCTCTGCCGACTCACTCTTTTACATCGCTAAGCCATTGACAAGACTGTTAAAGAGGGAAGGTTGGTGATTAGGCTAGCAACTCCGTCCAGTAAAAATAAATATCATTGCTACCGAAACTCTAAAGTTGTAGCTTGAAGCCCTGTGTTCCACTAGAAAGGTAAAGGAACACAAAATAAAAAAAATAAAAACCTACTTGTATAGCCATACGAAGGAAAAAAAGAAGAGAGTTATTGTAATTTTTTTCATAATTATCGACTAAATATATACTTACACTACCCTGAACATTTAAGTTGAACAGAATGAAGTCTTCGTGCCTTATACTGAATCCAAAATACTCAAAAGTAACCTTTCATAAATCTACTGAGTTGATGTATCTTCTATCTAACTTCTTATCCATGAATTCGATTTATGTGTGGATTCATTTTTGTCTATCTGTCTGAGATGTATAACAAAATGGGTGAGACAGTATTACTCACTAAATAACACTTTAGTCATAAAGTAATACTGATAGGTACTTGATATCATGCAACAAATTTGCTAAAGGGATTTTGTCAAACTGTGAGCATCCACCACAGCACCCACAGCTTTCACCTTGTTTCTTCTCTTCAGGTAAAGCAAGAAGTCATTTCAAAAGATTTTAGGCGCGCACGTCTAAGTATAAAAACTCTTCGATACCATATTTGGCACGCATTTTATATGATGCAAATAGTGTCAGGGATGAAATAACTAACCTGTTTTGCACTGTTAAATAAACAATTTTCTCCATCTTTATTCCACCAAGCTTTACTGTTATTATTCTCCTCACATTTATGATCCTCTCTTTTTTGTGTATGTTTATTTTCTCATGTGTGAAAACATCATTTAAGCTCTATAATAACTGTTATTTTTTGTTTTTCCTTTCATCATGCTATATCAGGAGAACTTTAGATTCTATACTCTTTAACACACTAAAATTTCCATACTGCACAGAGAATACTGTTTGAAACAAACCCACTGTTATTATTAGTATTATTGTTATAGTTATTATTTTCATTTTTTGTACTTTGCGCATTCTTGACTTTACTTCTACTGTAAATGTGGAAAAATTCCTGTTTTTTTATATACCTTCACGTTCCCAGTGGAACATAGGATTTCAGGCTAGACACTGGAAGTTTCTGTAGCAGTTTTCAGTTTGACAGGATGGAGTTGCTAGCCTCATGCTCAACCTTCTCTCTTTACCAGTATTATTTCTGGCTAAGCTAAATAAAGGAGTGCGTCGGTGGCCGGAGATCGAATCCCGGACCATGTGGATGGTCGGTGAGCGCCCTAACCGCTGTACCACCGACACAAAATTCCTGTGGTTAGTTTTATTTATATTTTGAGTAAATTAGATGCAATATTGTGACTAATGCTGAGAATTTCATTCTGTATTACAAGGACTGTTTTTGAAATAAAGCAGATTATTATTTTCGTTATAAGCAATAAATTGTCCCGGAAACGTTGGGATATAACAAACTAGCAAATTTATATACATTTATATTCTACTGTAATTGTCTAAATTTTATTCTTATGCACTTTTGCGTCCATTATAGGTATTATTAATAATCATATATATTAAAAGTTAGAAATATGAGTGATTTTAAAACATACCCCTAAATTCACCACTTTCAATGAACAAGTCTTCTCAGTGTTGTTTGTTGATCGTATCTAGGTGACAGTCTTCAGATTTAAACATGTGAAATTATATTTTCAGGGTTCTAGGCTAGTACATATGCCCTAGTGCATCAGATATCCTCTATTTCTACTTGTACCCGAAGAGTGCTCATTCATAGAGGGCATTCTGAAAGTATACTTTATTATATAATCCTGTATTCTATCTGGTGCTAACAGAATCTCAAATAATGGTGCGTTATGATACACTAAAGAAAAAAAATACCATAATCAAGTATTTGCTTTAAGGTATTTGACTGATAGGTTACAGGATCGCATCATGAGCTGATGTCGGTCATAGAACTACAGCTGAAGAACCCAAACTGGGAAGAAACAGCCCTCTAGTACACTATTCAAGTTTTTCAGTGGTTCTCTAACCGATATCAGGTCATGATGATGAAGTCAGTCCTCTAACCAAAAAAACTATAAGTTTGAACTTAATTTATAATTTATACAAATCGAAATCATCTACTCACCTTTAAGTATATCCTCCCACATGGAGTTTACTGCATCGAGGAGGGAAGAAATATTTCAAATTTAGAAGTAAAATAATTGAACATTAAGGTTGTTATATACATATACATGTCTATTTCAACACGGAAATATTCGAGTCACACTATATACCTGAAGAGAATGATAGATGAATATACAAAAAAGAAAACATTTTATGATTCTTAAAATAAATTTAAATTCTTAAATCCCCATATTATTGGACAAATAAAAGAGGAGACTATTTCTTTATATTATCTAGCGGGCATTATTATTTACAGGGCGTGCTAGGTTGTTATAGTGACAATATAATTTGAAAATTTAAACTATCCAGAAACTCTCCTATTTACTTTGTGGTATATGTATTTTGAAGAAAGGATAAGAAGATAAGAGTAGAAATTATTTTAGGAGGAACTGTCGCCTGTTATTTTATTATACAATTACGGGCAATCCTCAAAAAAGAAAAAAAAGAAATGCACACTATTTAGTCAGTCGTCTGTGTTCTCCTTCATCCATCAATCTCTCCGCTTAAGTAGATTATTATTGAAGTCACCTGCATATAGGCTTGTATTTTTGATGTGATGAGACGTGTTGAAACACTAGCTATTTAATTAGTGGTCTTTTCCTCCTATTTTTCTGAATGCATTTGGAGCTTATTATTTGTTCTGCGTGAATTATAACTCCTGGAACATAACAGTAGATTACTTTCTTTCTGAAAGGTTTGCTATTCTATTCTCTATTTCTCAAAAGATAATATTCAATAAAGAAAGTCGCACCTGAATAAATTTATTTGAAAGCAGCTCAGCTGGTATGTCACTCTGCTAATTGTTTTTGTATTTATGCGTGTTGAGTTACAGCGAGCAGAATAAATCATAAAAAAAATGGATATTTATTAAGATGAAATCTAAGCGATTTATAAAAAAGGAAAAAAGAAATCAGAACTTAGCAGGGAACAGAAAATAATTCTCTTGTAAAATACGATTTATTTTTTAAGGTTGTATAAAAAGCCTAAATTAAATGAAAATTTTGACATTCATCTTCTAAATTGCAGATTTGGAACTGTAACAAACAACGAAATGTTGGACAGAAATCAGTTTCACTTCAGTTATAAAGATTTTGAATCGGTTGAATAAATGATCCACAGTTGTATGTTTGTGATTAAAGCAACTGTCATTTTTCCATTACTTGATTTGTGGCTAAATAACAGTTATGTATACATTTAGATATCCTGGTTAAAAAGAAAGAGTGAAGAGCAGTAGTTCAGCGAAGAGTCTCTTTTCGACGAATTCATTTTCACAGCTGTGCGATCGCAAAAATATATGGTTATGTGTGTGTATTAAATTTGTCAAACGAGAATACAATTAGGAAGTATTTAGTGGAGTTACGTAATTCAAAAAGCGTTCGGAGGAGCAATCCTATGAGTATATATCAGTTCACCTGTCACTGTGGAGCCAAGTACACATCGGTCATTCGGCTAGCATCCTTTCAAAAAAGGTCAAAGAACACTATTCAGCGTAGCTTCAGAAAGGAAGTAGTAGCCGTGTAAGGATTGCAATAATCGAACATCTCATCACCACCGGTCATTCCATCTCAACAAACGCCTCCTGCTTCAAAGCAATCTACAAAAAGAAAAACAACCTGCCAAAGACGTTTCCGTCTTCTTCGCATTTCAGAAGGCGTAGTCATTCAGTTGGAATAGCCAGAACTATGCATACAAAAGAAAATTATTCAGCCATTTCTACTATCATGGTAACAACTCTGTTGATTCGACTTAACTTTTGCTTGTATTCTTATTTTTTCTAACTACTGAAAACTCCTAAGTAATTCCATGTTTTATTTCGCTTCCATGTACACCCTGAGCACAACTCCGTCACCAAACTATTCACGTTATTACGTAGCTCGTCTTCAACAATCGTTTTCGACAACTCATAAGTTTTGTTACTACCTTCTTATATCAATATACAATTCCCCGGGACACTTTTTGTATTACGTAACTCCACCAAGAACTTAACGATTGTGTTTACGTTTGACAAATTAAATGTACACACATATATAAAATAACCATATATATTTGCAGTTGTTTAGCTATCCAAATGAATCCATCGAAAAGCGACTCTTCGTTGAACTACTGGTTTCCTCTCTATTAATGCTTAAATGGGGATTTTTCATGAATTTAAACAAAATGTCCAGTTATCGATAAAAGTAGACATTAAACCAGTACATTATGAACTAAGGCACCAAAGAAAATTCAGTGAAATCAAACCTTTTTTCTTTAAACAGCTAGATGATTCTATCTTGATCAATGAATGCTTACACATAACCTAAAAATGATGTGAGAAGCTCTTAATAACGGTATTTTCAGCAAAGAAATAATATACAAACAACTTTTTGATGAAAAATGAATCGTAAAACAATCTTCTTCAATGACACTAACATTCTCCTCGGAGAAAAAATCATCGAAAAAGTCATAAATCAAATTCACAATTTGAAAATCTGTTCGCTTTTTGCAAAGTATACAATTGGAGGGGTGAAATTTCACTTCAGCCACCTTTTGAAGCGTAATTATCCAGATCACAAGCACATGATCTGCTTGACACGATAAATGTTGATCAAGAAAGCAAGCATATTTGCGCAAAACTCTACACTGCTGATTGACTGAGAGGAGCAGTTATATACCACTCCGAGTAGACCATTGATGAGGCCATCCCTAAACGAGCGATAAAAGCCATCTGGTGTTTAGATCACTTCGATCTGTCTGACAAGCACTACTGTCTGATATGAGTGCTATACAACTACTCAAGTCAATTAATCAGTAGTATGTAGCTTTATGGGTAATGTCATGAACACAGGAAAGTGATTAATTCTTTGGTTTTAATTGGTTCTTCAACTAACGTTGATTTTCAAGCATTGGTCGCGCTGTGTCGTGAATTGGCAGAAGCTAGAATTCAAGGACCATTGGATCCGGTTCCAGTGGCCTAATGGTCTACGAGCTCGCCTTATAACCAGAAGGTCCTGGGTTGGAATCGGAGTGGTGGATGTGTACTGCTGAAGAGTCCCAAACTACGACGAAACAACTGTCCAGTACTATCAGGTTTTCCAGTGGTTCTCTAACTGATGTCAGCTCATAGTGAAATCCTCCATGAAATGTTGATTTATTGAAAAACTTGTTTTTAAATCAATCTTAATACACTGTATAAGTGAAAAATGCATTTCGCCTGTGTTCTATTCCGGTCTACTTTATGATGAAAAAGCAACTAGCAATAAAACCTACTTATTTGTCGAAATAGACTCTACAAAGTTATTTGCTACTTGTAAAAGAATCATAGAAGGCGACTTACCTCTCATTTAAATCAAAATTTGGCATAATGACGTCAGCATGAAGATATCAAATATAATAATCGTTTTGAGCTTCAGCTAAGATTGTAGGCAATGGATTCTGATTTCTAAAATCCTGTCCCTGATATTATCATGAGGACAACGAAGTAGTGGGTAGTTTCTCCATTCTTATTGTTAAATTCTCCTCTGAGTTTCAATATACTGAGTTTATGAAGCCTTCAAGAGAATGTTACTGGATTATTCAAGGAAATTTCAGTTCCACAGAATTTAATTCGTTTTCGAATTGATCATCATAAGGAGTCTTGTTGGAATTTTTATTTCATCTAGACTTTTTTATACCTAGAGTGAATGAATACTGAATTTTAGGCGTATTTCATTTTATTGCATGGAGAATTCCATCATGAGCTGACATCACCCCAGTTTGGAACTCTTCATCAGTACGCACCCACCGACAGGAGGTTCGAACCCAATACCTTCTGGTTACAAGTCGAGCTCGTGTACTGTTAAGCCATTGGGACTTGCCTCAATGGCCAGTCCATGAATTCTAACTTCTGCCAATTCTCGACATAACGCGACCATTTCGCAATGTCTTCTTCGATGAGTTACTGCCTCATCTTCAACCTGCTGTACCCTACCGGTTACGGCTTCTCACTAGAACTGTCTGATTAGGGCCAGTCGCTAGCAAGCATCAGATTGATTTGAGTTGAAATTGGAAACGCTTTCCGACTATAATCAAAAGTATGACTAAGTAAAACCATCGGACACTCACTGTCTAAACAAAAATAATAAGTTTACATAAGCAAATAGGTATGACAATGATGCTTTTATTCTGGTTCATTGTGACTGGCAGTGGAATCGAAGATGAGCACTTCGTCCGATTTAGGACTTGTTAGCCAATTGTAACTGCATCTGCAGTGTGTGATGTTGTTCTCACTGAAACTCGAACTAAGTATCCATCTTTTCAAACGTCAGGGTGTTACCTTCTAGGTCCCTGGGTACGAAATCAATCAAGAGAAGAGAATATATAAAAACATAGTGAAACTTTCTTACTGGAAGGCTACATACCAACTGAAACCGAGAATTTGAAATCACCTCAAACAGTGACAACAATGATGACTTGAATTCATCGGTTAATATGTCATTATTAACTGTGTGTATCTGCGTATGAGTACCAACAAGCATGCAGAGAAGAAAGGACTTGAAGTAAACATAGCGATGACAGAGATGATGAAGATACCACCAATCACCAACAACCGAATAGATTTGAAGGGAACAACCACTTTCACATATCTAGACATAAGCGTTTCAACTATAGGCGACACGGATCAGAAAGGCTAGAGAGATCTTTATTAATCTGACATCAGTCTGGATATCTACTACACTCAGTATGAAGCGCAAGGTTTTGATTTTCAATATAGTGCAGAAACTTGGATTTACATGAAAAAATCTTTTCAAATAGGCTTCAGATTTTTATCAACAGATGTCTTCTCTCCATACTGAAGGATTAGTAACAAAGAACTTCGGAGACGAACTAACCAGGAAGCTGTGAACCAACAAATATGCTAAGAAGTTGGAGATGGATCCGGCATATGCTGAGGAGATCGACCTGTGACACCACTTGGCAATGAAACCGATAAGGGGGAAAACGAGTTGGGTGTATGTCAGAGAGTGACATAGAGGAAATCATGTGAGTAGAAGATGAGGGCCTATGGGCAGTCGTAAAGTCGACTGTAGGGGAAATTCGGAGAGCAACAATCAAAAATAGCAATGTGCTTTTGAAGTCTAATATTCTACTCGGAATCTAAGGGAATAATAATATTGATAGTAATTCACTAATAACTGACAACATTAAGAAATTCGACCTTAATTAA